GTGTGACCTCGGCATCCTCCGTTTGTGTTGGAGGGCCCGGGACAAGCAGCTCCCGGCGCCGCCAGGAAGCGCTCGCCCAGCCCGGCGGGCGGGTGTCCAGCCGCGGGGTAGGACGCTGGCTTCTCCGCTGTCGGAGGGCCGGAGGGTGGCGAAGCCCAGAGCCGCAGCTCTCGGACAGGGGTCACCGGCCCTGTGTCAGGCCCGAGTCCCCGAGATGCCCGGGCCAATCTTGTTAGCTTGTTGCACAGCGCTTTCCGGAGAAAAGCGGTCCAGCCTCAGTTATTTCTTCCTCGAAGGATAGTGGTTTCTTGGTGAGGTGAGGCTGTGCAATCAACCCCATAGCTCCCGATACAGGGGCGATTTAACAATCGCAAAAACTGATTCAGCTCATGCTTTTCCAGCAGGCTGGCCTAAATGCATCATACTTCAGGTGCCTACTCTGGCTTCAGTAGCTCTTGAATGAGTTTCAGTGATCCACTGCATCTGTTCCTCTGCATCCTACTCTGAATGTAGTACCCATGTTGCCTCATTTTCCTACTCCTTACTGTTATTTCTGTGTGCTGTTGCCTGATGCGTACGGTCAGATATAGCATACATCTGAGTCTCTCCCAGATATTTTATGTGGCATGAAACTGCAGGCATACATGTGCATTTTGCTTTCCAGATATTACTTTGGAAAAACCCATGTCAATGTTTTTGGTTTTGTGAATAAAAAATACAAATTTCTAGTATTTGAATACCATGGGTGGCAGGCATGGGAGAAGAAGAAAAAAGCAAAAAATAAAGAATGTGTCTGGAGTTTTTAAAACATATGATTTCTCAGTAATTGCAGTTCATTTGAGTGCCAGTAGAGTTGGTTTTATGGAAAATAGGTTTTTAGAACAAAACAAGATCTTGTTGGTTTAATTCTAGATGAAATAGGATTTTTGGTTAAGAAAGACGTCGAGATGCTTATGGCCACCTCAGTTAAAGTATTTGGTGTTGTAGCAGCTGTGTATTCAGACTTGCTGCCTACTGGAATTTTAACTCCTGCATTCATTCTTCTCCACAGAGCACCAAGGCAGAGGCATTGAGCCATGTGCCTGTGTGGATCAGCACATGAAGATTCTTACTGCCTGCCTGCATTTTAAGCCAGAAATACGCAATTAATTTTGCATCAGGAGTCTTTATAACTTGCTATTCACATCCCTAGTTCTTCACTGTTTCAAGTTTTAAATGTGCCCAAACTAAACAAATTGTTCCTTAAGCCCCCTGCTTTTCTTGATGATGTACAAGAGCTGTGCTTCTGCACATACCTGTCAAGTTAGTACTTTGAGCCATTTTCCCCAAATCTGGATGATAGGTTTGAGAGAGAAGAGAGTTTGCTACAGTTTTACTTTTGCCATTTTACTGGCGAATGCTTACAAGGCTTTGCCTAATATTCCACTGCAATCCTACAGCTTCCCTTTGTTTTCTCTTTCAAAATTGAGTTCATTTATTATAGCTGAATAGAAGCTAAACTTTATAAATAGAAGGAATAATGTTGAAGCCCCAAAATTTTCATGTTATTCTTCAAACCTAGGACTCTGTCCCTGAGGAGGAGAATGCAGCTCAGTCCGTGAAAGCATTTACTCCCTTGCATCTCTTCTCAGCTGTCAGCCAAGGGCATGATTTGAGCTGCTTGGGCTGGCCTCTCTACCAGGTAATTGATGGCTATTGCTGGCTCATTTCACACAGGCCATGACTTTAATTTCCTAGGCTATATATGAACCAGCAAACTGGCAAACCAGTTTAGAAACAATAGGTTAGCCACCAGTGCTCTGGGCAGTCCAGTCTCATTGGGAGAACTTGTACTGCCCAGAAAGATGAAAACAGTGTATTGCCAAAGCTGAAGGCTTTTGTCAGCTGAAAACAGAGGCAGTGGCTGTGCATCTACTCGACCTGCCTGTATACCTGCTCTCCTCTCCTGTCATTGCTCTTGAATGTCCTGCAAAATATTTTAAAAAAACAGGTCTGCTGGATCTCCAGAAAACAGCTCTTCCTCTGTTTTTTTTTATTGCTCTTTCTAGTTCTTACATTTAGGTAAATAAGAAATCACTCTTCGTGGTTTTTTTTCTGGAGAAGTCCTTTTTTGAAAGAGAGGATTAACTACCCCCACGCAAATGCTGGTACCAGTCTGCATGTGAGGCAGCTAAAACTTCTACATATAAAGAAGGCTTTATTACACAAATGTGAATGTTAAACTGATGGATGTATAAGCTCTAATGTAGTTGTTGCTTTCAATAGTTAAAGCATTATTTAGGTGTAGTCATTCCTTAGTCTTTTTTGTGTAAGATCTTAGCCCTTGAAAAAAGAGGCTTGCTTTAATTGTATTTTAATAAAATCCATTGGGGCTTTTTATTTCATTATGTAACGGTATCTATCTTATAATAACACATTTTCACTAAGGAGCTGTGTGAGAAGTGCTGAATTAATAAAACTACTTTTCTCTTTTAGGGTGGATTCATTTTGTATTTTTATAAGGTAAATTACAACTATTCTTTTTGCAGCTAATCAGGAAATATGTTATCCGTATATCAGCACATACTTAGCTACTGCTAGGGCCTAAGGGAGTGTATTTTCATCAGAAGTAGTCTTCTTGAGGGATACAGTATCCAGATCCTGCTAAAAGCCATATTTTACTTCTCAGAGGTAGATGGATGGTGCAGTAAAAGAGATCTGCCTTGCTTCGAAGGGGGCAAGTAAAATGATCATGTCACACTAAAATGTGTAGAGCATAAGGACAGTAAATTTCTCTTCCCCAAAGGGGATACAGGAAAATGTCTGGAAATAGATTTGTCTAGCTGTTATGCAATAAAACCTGGAGACAGTATCTAATAGCAGAAGCAGCTATCTTTTCTGCTAGTGTAAAGGAGGGCTGCTGATGTGCACCTCCATTTATCACCTGGTTTGTTACATGATGCCGATTTGTTTGGGGCTGGAAACTATGGACGGGGAGCAGTAAGTGGAGATCAGTGTTCTGGCAGCACTGCCTGTTTGCACAGCTTCAGCCTTTTAGCTTGCTGCAGCCTTGCAGAGTCTACAAGTGGTCAGGCTGTACAGTCCCTGTGAGCTCTCTCCTTCCCTCTGATCCCAACTAGTATCTCTACTAGATCCAGATATCCTTCTGCTGAATTTGTTGTGGGTAAAGTTAAGACTTACTCCCCATATTTCAATGTTCTGCTAAGATAAAGGTAATAATTTAAATAACCTAATGTAAACAGGCATTTTAAACAAGTGAAAATTGCTGTCACTTGGCAGCGTGCCTCAAAAATTATGCGTTAAATCCTCCTTTTGTCACTAGGTGCTCCATGAAACAATATCTATATTATATAAAAATAAATATATTTATATTATAGAAAATACGTTTGTTTTTATTTTATATGCATATATTTATATTATATAAAAATATATGTTATTATATAATAAATATATATGTTTTATCAAATAAGGCAGCCCTACATTTCACATATAACTTGCATTTAGCCAAAGTATTTTCTCACTAAACAGTTGTATTATTCTTTAAGAAAATACCTTAGTTTTAAAAATAAGTCCATCTTGGAGTCAATGAGAACTATCTTGTTTCAACAGTGTGACAAGATTTCTCATTGATTTCTCTGCATTCAGTCCAACAACTTGAAACAATGAGTAAAAATGCCAGGTGGAATCCAGCATGCTTTTGTTACTTTTCCAGAGAACAAGATAGGAAATGAAAATAAGAATTTCTGCCTTACTGTAACAAATTGCATGGTAGTAAGAATTTAGTTATTCATCTCTCAAAAAGACTTTGTCAATTACAAGGTTCATTTACAGAGTTTGGAAAAGACAACCCAGCAGGGGTCATGCAAGTCCCTGTCTACTGTAATAATAATTTCCAGTGACATTATCACGTAGCTATGGGACTTAATAACAAGGAATGATATTTAACTGCTGGTATGAACACAGTGGTATATCTGTTACATTTATGACATAGGTGTAAAATATAACTAATAACTAACCTGCTAAGGGAACATTTAGCAGATGAACTGCATTGATGTGGCTGTACCATTACCCAATATGCATATGTTCCCCTTAAAGCCTGATCAGTTTTTATGTTCATGTTTCCATTGCTAAGTATGTGAGAAAAAAGTGTATTCTGTTAACACTTTCATTCATCTTCAATGGAGTTAGTAAAGAAGATTCCCATTCTGTAATTAGCTAGGGGAAATGAACTCCAGAACTCTCAAATTAAATACACTAAATCTTTTCCAAAAATACTGTAGAGTATAAATATTTTTCATTCTCACTCTAGCTCCCTCCCTTTTGTTGACTGGATAATTCATACTAGTTCCATCCCAGCCTCCAAATTCCTCACATCTCCTGTATTATGTAGCACTGTCTTGTCCCATGTGAGCTTTGTGTTGAGTATACATTGGCATGAGGGGGTCCACAAGAACTGGAGGTGGGTATGGCCATATGGTCTATTTTGCAGTAAACAATTTCAGAAATAGTAAAAGCACTGAAATGCATCATTGTATCAAAGCTCCCTGCATCATCTTCTCTTTTCTCCGTACCTTGAATAACAGACACCCAGCAGTGGTCAGAGTTTGAGTGGTTTGACATATCCTATAGGTCCATTTGTTGCTTGCTGCATTGTTTTGCATGTTGCAAAATCTGAGCTTTCAGTTCTGTTTTTGTGCCTGTCTCGAGAGGGAGAGGAAGAGGGAGAGGGAGATGCAGCACAGAAAAAAAAAGAGTAGTCAGGAAAATAGGAAAATGGGGAGTATACGCAAAAAGAAGAAAACAGGGAAGAAATCAAAAGAAAAGAGAGATTATTCACCAGTGCCAAAGTACCAGCGTGGCAAAGGGAGCTGAGGGGCTGTGATGTGCTGCCACTGCCCAATGTGGCAGCACTGGTGTGTGAGCTGGTGCTGGTGCCCACAGGTGTGTTTGCACAGCTGGGCAGCCCCCACAGCAGCCTGATGCCACGTGGAGCAAAGGACAGTCACAACCAAAGAGGCAGTTACCACATTAAGTCAGCATGTGGGTCTTCAAGCATATCCTTTTAGGCATCTGCAGGAGACACACTGTGTCCTGAGGGATGTTCACAGCCTTGAAGCTACTTTGTGGTTCAAAGGTCATCCTTAAAAAGCATTATTGTGATAAGTTCAACGCCACTTTTATGCGATTTGCTTCATGGTCCACAGGGGTACTATCAGTAGCCAATGTAAACCATAGGTTTTGGAGTTCTGATGTCCTCTCATCCTAGGAAAAAAGCAAACAAAAGAGGAGAATTAGAGACTAATTCAGATTTGCCCCAATACTATTACATGTTTCCAGTATTTTATCAGATTTTGACCTAAATAAAAGCATTTTTGGAAATCAGTGCATTTCCATTTGAAGTGAGAAACACCTACGTTTATAGTAAATTCCTATAGTATTGTAATTCTGCAACAAACTTCTAGGACTGTCAGGCTTTTTGGGATGAGACAAAATTTCCTAGGGAAATAAAGGAAAATAGAAGGAAATCTATTGGTAAAGAGCTGATTTCACTTCCTGGACTTTTGCCCAGATTGACTATTTCAGAGAGTGTCTCGTAGTATTTGCTTGAAAATGGGTAAGGGATACAGACTAGTAAGAATAAAAGCAAGAAGGAGCAGCTGTGAGATGGAGAGGCAGCAGATGCTTGTCTACACAAGCAGCTAATTCAAAATGAAAAAAATAAAAGGAAGGAAGAAAATTCTGAGCCTAGTGAAATAATTGTTGTCATGGAGATTATGGGAGGTAAACATACCTTTTATGGAAATATTTATTGCCATTCTTTTTGTGAGACTAGACAGACTAAAAAGGCTTTGGTTCACTTTATTGATGCATTTCCCTCCTTTCCCTTTTTATATAATGGCAATTCTTAAAGCATTTCCTTCTCAAGAAAGTCTGTTTTAAATGTTCCTCATTGTTCGCTTGCAAGACATAGAAGCAGAGTATCTGTATACTGTTGAAGGGGGAAAGAGAGTTTTTCTGCATGGCACATGGCTTTTTTCCTTTCCTATTTATTATGTAAAAAGGCCAGCAGTACTGTCCTTTACGCTTGTGTGCTAAATGTGTGTTGAGCAATACTTTTGCTATCCTAAATGGTTCTATACTCATCAGTTGGTACCTAGGAGCCTGAAATTTTACAGGAAATACAGACAAGGGAGTTCTTTATATGCTCTGGAAGAAATCCCTTTTGAATGCAGATAGGCTGAAGAAAAGAATTGGTGTCTGACTTTTGACTTCCCACACACCAGGGCATGGAATAGTCAGGACTGGGGTGTTACTCTCTGTCTAATTAAAATAAGAAAATTAAGTTAATATCTTAACTTTATTTTCCAGAAATGATTCATGTTCTAAGTAGTGGATGTGACTTACCTGCATTTCTTTCAAGTGAAAGTTAAAATCCTAGCAGCTCTGGTAGTTTTTCCCTATTTAAATGAAGTGAATATCTCTGTTATTACATATGAAGATGTTTCACAAAGATTGAGGTTTATTAAAACTAAAGGCATGGGAGAAAAATAATTTCAGAGCATAGTCACATGTTCCATACATTAGCAATTACGCATTCACAAGGCAGACTTGATCTACAATTTTCATTCACGAGCAGGTTCTGCTATTTTAATATAGTTTTTTTAATTTTTGTATTATAGTTGTGTGCTAGGCCAGGTTTGATTGATTTATATTTCCATTGAATTATATGATACAGCAGCAGCAAAGATACAGTCCTTTTTCTGCTGATATGAATACCTCAGGGCTGCAGAAAACACATGAACATCCTGTGTCTCCTGTAGATCTGTGCAGACTGAGTCCCACCTGAGCCTGTTGTTACTCTGTTCTGTGGTGGTGTGTATGAGAAAGGAAAATTGCTCCTCTGCAAATTCTGTACCCAGTGGTGTATGCCCATTCTGCCCATATCCGGACACTTGTGATTATTCTTCCCCTCATATTCTGGGAACGCTTGAGAAGGATATGCAGCTATTCATACAGTAAGATAAAGCCCTAACTACTCTTTAGCTGAAGGTAAAAAACAACCCTAGTATCCATATAATCATATTTAGAACAAGCCATGAATAATAGGATGTGAAAACAAAAAGTGGCCTCATTTCCTGGCGTCATTTAGAGTGATGCCAGCCAGAGGCTGCCCTTGAAGATCGCCAGGGTTCAGGGATTGCCCGTGAAGGGAGGGGCTGTCATCGCTGCTCTGCTGGTTTCAGATTTCAGCCATCGTAGCTTTGTCTACTTCTATGTGGTATGAAACAGAATGACTGTAATTTGTGCTTGGTGCTCATCAGAGACACTGTAATTGGGGGGAGAGGTTAGGGTCTGCAGGAATCTAATTTAGATACTCCACCAACACGCCAAGTTCCCCTTGGGAGGTTGGTTTACATTCAGCAGTATTTTCCCAGGTAAGGCACGAATGAGTGGTGAATGTTGCTTGTTGTTG